TCACAATTCAGTTTTAGAATATATCCTAGTTACCACACAGAAGATCTCTCATGCCTGTATAAATTTTTTAATTCTTATTTTCTTTTTGTAGTGCTGTTACCTAAGTATTAACCTTCCTAAGGTATCAGTGAAAGTCAGACTGGGTGAAATAAAATCAAGGCATTATATTTCTTATTTTTGTATTATTAGAAAGAATTTTCTTTCAACTTTTTCTCCAGTGAGATTGAGTCCTAACTAAATCCCAACTTTGCTCAAGAAAATTTAAAATATCCAAAATTATACAGTAATTACTATATCGTATTTTAAATTAACAATTTTTAGGACTTTAAAGAAAAACCATGTGTCGGTAAAACTGACTTGAAAATTAGCAGGAATCAGGTAGCCACTAATTGTAAATCAAGTAGCAATTAAGTGGAAAGAAAATACTAGAATCTACACCTCATTAAAGCAGGGAAAGTGTTTAATCCCTAGTGCTTAACACAGTGATGGATGCATAGTAAATATTCGTTAAGTACACGAACTGCATTCCTTTTAAATAGAACTAGCATTCTGTTTTGACTTGTTTGAAATTTTTTGTCAACTTCTTATCCCCTTTTGCCTGAATTTATAATTTTATAACTGTCTCACAAGCAAAGAACTATAAAATATCTGAGTGATCTGCCTAAACTCTGTCCACCTCCTCTGAGGCAATAGCAGCGACAGTCCTCAACCTCCCCCACTTACCGTCTTTGTCCTTTATATAGCTCTTTGGCCTATACATAAGCCTTTGGCCAGTTTGTCAGCTTTCTGGAATTCTAATTGACACCACTGCTTACTGCATCAGTATAAGTCATGTAAATTCACAACTAACATATTTTCATGTAGTATACAAAACCTGCTCTTTAAGGACAGGCTTAGAAGTCTTATATACCCCTTTCATGGGGTCCCAAAGAACAACTGTTGTTTGCTGTAAAAACATGGCAAAATGCTGCCAGGCTGTGGTGCATAGAGTTTCTTTCTACCAGTTCGTTCATTCTCTACCTTGGAGAGGAAAAGAAAACTCTTGCTGTATAATAAAGGGATTTGTCAAATCTCTTATTTTGCAAAGTTTCTGTGAAAGTGGTAATAGCCTGGTCTTATGTTGTTACTACAGTGCTAAGTTGTTTTGATAAATATTAGTAGTTTCAAATTACTGAAAAACCTCCAGATTTTGTTGTAACAAATGAGTATCAAGTAAAAAGAAAAAACAGAAAATTTTTCAGGCTGGACGCAGTGGCTCACACCTGTAATCCCAGCATTTTGGGAAGCCAAGACAGGCGGATCACGAGGTCAGGAATTCAAGACCAGCCTGGCTAACACCGTGAAACCCCGTCTCTACTAAAAATACAAAAAATTAACTGGGCATGGTGGCATGCGCCTGTAGTCCCAGCTACTCAGGAGGCTGAGGCAGGAGAATCGCTTGAACCTGGAAGGCAGAGGTTGCAATGAACCGAGATCCTTGTACTGTACTCCAGCCTGAGTGACAAAGTGAGACTCTGTCT